CAGCTGCCAAAAGCCCATCGGCCCAGCTCCTGGAGCAGGTGGCTCAGCTCAAGGCCCTAAGTGACACCGTCGAGAAGCTCAAGGTCAGTTTGGACCCCGCCCTTTCTCACCCTGCGGTGCTCATTTCAGAGCGCTCGCTGGGGGGCCCTGGGCACACTCACTCCCACAGGAGGTGCCGGGGTTCCTGGAGCCCAGCCCTGTGCTCGACGGCCCGCTGGGGAGGGGTGGCAGGGAAGGCGGGGTTCCTGCCTTGGGAGCTCACTCTCGGTACAGATTCTCATCAGCAAGACAGGTTGAGCGTGTGGTTCAGGTGCCGCTTCTGTCGGAGCTGAGGTCACTGCGGGGTAGGATGGTCGGGGTGGCTTCCCAGAAGCTGCAGAGCCTGAGTTGGGCCTTGAAGGATCCGTAAAGTAAGGATGTTGGGTAGCGGTGGGGTTGGAGTTGAGAGCAAAAGTGTGGTGATGAAGAGGAGTGGGTCCCTGCTTCCTTGGTCTGAGTGTTCCTGTGAAACCACACTGGGCTAGCCGGTCGGGTCCCCTGAATGAAGCCTCTTCCCCTCCTCCACCAGGATGAGGTCCTTAAGGAGACCGTATCTCAGCGCCCCGGAGCCACGGTCCCCACTGACTTTGCCACCTTCCCCTCATCAGCCTTCCTCAGGGTAAGGGGGAGCGCGGGGAGGAGGGTGGGCAGTATGGAGGGCTCAGGTGGGTCCTTCCCCTCTCCCCAGAATTTGAAGAGGCCCCTGGGGTCTCAGGTCCAACAACTGCACATCTGAGTTACCTCGCCCAGCCTTACTTGGAAGCAACTTAAGAGTGCTTGCAAGGCTTCCAAAGATTCCAACATTTTCACAAACATCTTCTATGACTTTCAATATCAGGATGGGCTGAAAACTCCCTTGTCAGGCTGTGTAGCCCAGTTCTGATTTGGAAAAAAACGTGGTTGTCATAACCGAGGAGCCTCAAAGCCTCAGGTCCTGAGAGGCTGCCTCGGTCTCAGTGCTCAGGACCGTGTCAGGGGCACACGGCACAAGTGAGCCCCTGACCTGGGGCCTCTTCCTCCCCCAACCCCCAGGCCAAGGAGGAGCAGCAGGACGACACTGTGTACGTGGGCAAAGTGACCTTCTCGTGCGCGGCTGGCCTTGGGCAGCGGCACCGGCTGGTGCTCACCCAGGAGCAGCTACACCAGCTT